AGTTACAAAACTCGTCCGATATTTTTGAGCCGCCATTTTGTTGTCACCGGAATTATCAACACCTGTAAAATAACAAGTTATTCCGACGACTCAAAGTGGGTCTAAATTTGGACAACTCGTCCTCCATCTTGATTGTATGATTATTGAAAATAATCATAATATTTTACCTCAAGAACCCCCACATAATGATTATGAATAAAATAGGATCATACTCACAAAACTCGTCTCTCATCTTGAAGCCACCAACTTGATTTCATGGCGAAAACAAAATCAATTTCTGATCCCGAATTTCCCCACATACCAATTTTAAATGGAATTGGGTCAAAATAAAAAACTCACCTGCCGTCCTTGGACCTGAAAACCCCCACATACCAATTTTGGAGCCGCCATCCTATATTATGAACAAACATTCATAATCTCCGACCCCGCAAACCCTCATATACTAGTTTTGAAAAGACTCGGACCATAGTTACAAAACTCGTCCGCCATCTTGGAGCTGCCATTTTGTTTTTCTCTAGCAATAATTTCATTTTATTGTCACCATAATTATCAATACCTTTAAGTTAACAAGTTAATCGGACGACTGAAAGTGGGTCAAAAATGCACAATAGTTACATATGTTCAAGGGAGTAAACAACTCATCTATTTCTCTTGTTTTCATAATATTCTTCTACCCTATTCTCGAATTCGAGCTTCACTTTTCATAACCTCTGGCAATTCATTCAATCCGAAGGACTAGAATTATTGCGATAATTGTCAGTAGTGATGTTAGTGAATGAACTTCCCATTGCAATTTATATTTTGAAATGTTTTCCATCTAATCCCAAATGTCCTCAAATTGAATTAGTCCTCGGAATCATTTCCGATATGGTATGTCCTCAAACTATAACAAGGAGCTCCCATTGTCCCCAAAATGGTGGTGTACCTGAACTTACAGTTGAATATAACAGAAAAGTTTGAGGACAGTCCTCAAATAGCCGTTTTGTCCCCAAACTCACAGTTACTGGAGAAAACTGTCCTCGAAGTCACAGTTGTTTATATGAAAACTGTCGCCAAAAACCCCACATTCCGATTTTAAGGATAATCTTGATTTTCTGATTGTTGACAAAGAATCATAATCATTAAACCCGAGAACTCCCCAAAAACAATTATGAATCATACCACTTATCAATAGAATCGAATCATAATAAAATTCATCTGGCATCTCGTAGTCACATTCTTGACTCTATAAATATTGCCAGAAAAATCATTATTTTCGTCCCTAAAAACCTCCAAATACTAAGTTTCAATTCGACAAAAATCACATAATCCGTCCGCCAGCTAGGAGCTACCGTCTTGATTTTATGGATTTTTATAATGTTGGGCATTTCTACGAAATTCATAAATGTACTTATAAATAAGACGATGTAGATGTTTCCATTTGTCTTTGCTAACCTATAAATTGTTCATCTGAATTTATAACTTTTACTGTCAAATAATCCGTTTTGCATAGTTTTTTAATTTTCTAGCTTTTGTTATACTGAAGATGATCACAATTGTGAACATGTATGATTTTTCGATCTAACAATTAAATATATTCCTCCTTTTTGTGTGGAGAAAACTTCGAGTTCACCTTCCTCTTCAAAACCGTATATTATTTGACCATTTTATAATAAACAGCTAGTATCATTATAACCCGGTATTGAATATGAAGAATTTCTTGGCAGTTTTAAAATTTTAAATTGAACTCGTTCTGCTTGTATGTAGGTTCCACTTTGATTAAATTTACTTCATTTTCAGTACGCTTTTTTTCTTGATAAATCACCATTGTTGTCACATGGTCGATTCTTTTATCATTGAAATTATTGTTGTCTATAGCTTTATGGAGAAATAACGATGAATCTCAAACGATATCTTTCGAAATTAGCAATTTTTCGTCAATAACTTCAAATACAATGGGGATGATTACGGGAAACTCATCCGGCAGAGTGCGCTGAGTGTTTGTCACATTGGTCATTAGCTGTCAAAGTTTCCACCGTTATTTATTGATTTATTTGAAAGTTTCTTATTTAAATTGCTTGCGATTCAAGATGTATTCTACATGGCGTATCGCTCAGTTGAAGGAGGAGTTGCAGAGGAGAGGTGCAACCCTAGGAGGGAAGAAAGCTGATCTAGTGGAAAGGTTCATAATTTTGCATATTTGAACAACTCTCTCATTATAAAGACAGTTTTTTGCATCCAATTTGCTCCCAAGAAATATATTAATGAAAAAAACCCACATATTTTGTGTTTTTNTAATTGGTGACTTCAATATCCCTAAATATGATATAGACTTTAATGATACCAAATTTCAGTACATCCTCAACTTTATGCAAGCAATTGAATCTCAACAGTACAACTCGATAACGAATATTAATAATCGCAAACTGGATCTAGTTATAACCAACTGTGACGATTGTATCGTCTCGAAATGTGATCAACCTTTTGTTAAGATAGACGTTCATCATCCTACACTTTCTATTTCATTGAACTGTCGTACTCCTCATATCAATGACTTTGCTATTAATACAACAGATGCTATTAAGCAATTTAATTTTCGCAAAGCAAACTTTCCAGCTATATTGAGTACGAGCGAAGTGTATGGAAGGGATATAGTATGCGATGGCAGCGCACAGTGTGGCAGAATTGTGTAACAAAAGGGGTTAGTGAAACTTGTCAAACGCTGTTTTGAAGATGGGTCATTATTCTTGTTGTGTCATAAACTGCAAAAATACCAGTGGAAATAGTCAGTTTAACTTCTATATTTTTCCAAAAGCAGCCTGGAAAATCGATCAAAGAATTAGATGGATAGCTGCGGTTAAAAGGAAAAAGTAAGTGATGTTGGACATAACCTTAAATACAATTGCCTAGAATATTAATATAAATAATGTTATAGGATATTTACTAATTATGGTATTATTGTTTATTGTATAGTGATGATGGATCGCCATGGCACATTTCATAGGAGGCAAAATATCAGATGCGCAAGCAAGTCCAAGTTATGTGCCCATGATACTACCTGAAGTATATCGAAAGAGGAAGGTTAACGAGTCACATGTACAAGCTAGATATACACGTTTGATTAAGCGATGAACCACAAAAGCTGCAGCAGATATCTCGGAAGTCTCGGATACCATAACAAATGAAATAGCATTGGAAATAGAAAATCAAACTCAACCTCGTCTGGCGAATCAAGGATGTCAAGTCAATATCTTTTCTGAAATCAATCTAAAGGAAACAACCTTTATTTGCAATAATTTTATTTACACTGATCACTGTGATGCAGAAATTCAAGTAGATATTGCAACAACTACAAAAATTGTAACAACAACTAGTCCCAGAAAAAAAGATAAAAGCTGTTGCACCAACAAAAAATCATTTCAAGACCAGTCTACTAAAACTACAAGCCGAGAATTTGCTGGTATCTCATCAATAAAAAATGATTATGAACTGCTAGATCTTGCTGGCGTGTCATTCAATAATTTTGATTTTTTACTAACCAAATTATTAACTGAGACAAAATGTACAGTTTCAATTAAAGTGCAGTGAATATTGACAAATTTTTAAAGGTTTACGAATTTAAATATTATGGCAATCTTAATTATAGTTAATTTAATTGGCTGCTATTGATGAATAACTCTTCCAGTTTTCTACCTGCTACCTGCCCATAAATAATTGGGGTGACATTAATTTGTCAGCTTCCTGACTTTTGCCACATTTGGTAGTCTGTAATGGTATTACAGGAAAATGGAGAATTTAATGTCACCTCAATTGAAAATGGGCAGGTACCAGGTAGAAAACTGGAACTAATCAAATTACCTATAATTAAGATTACCATACTATTTAGAGGATTGTAAACGTCTGAACACAACTGAGGATAGTAGCAGTTGAAACGTAGTGAACTTTTTAAATTATAGTATGATGGAACTCGGAAATGAATATACTCAAGTTACATCACAGTCTACAACCTTCAAATAAACTTTTTTGATTGGCGAACACACGTCGAGTGGAATGGACGTTAAATTGATGTTTGGGTAATTTCTATTCCTGAAATAATGGTTTACCTATCACAAAATCAATGTATATTGTCAAATGGAAATATATAATTATAATTACCCATCGTTTCAGTGCACATTTCTGGATATGAGTCTTGAGAGAGATTTCCATCTCCATCTCCTTGGGCTTTTTCCAGTATATTAGACATTCTAACTATGTCTTTTGCTACATTTGGCAGCCTGTAATGGTCCAAATGAATCTTTTCATTATGACCCAAATAATCTGCGATATCTTTCAGTTCCGTTTTACCCAAATCCATCGTAGCACATTTGGTCGCTATATGCTTTCTGAGTTGTGTTCCTCGTAAGGTATTTGGCTTTTCTGCGCCACATAATTTTGAGTATTGGTTCATTAATTTACTAGCCGAAAGATGACTGTGGGAATTGCCAGGCAGGCCAAATAAATATGTATTATCAGAACTGACTCCTGCTTCATTTCGAAATTTTAAAAGCAATTTGAGGGCAATAAAGTTATCTTTGTTTACCATCACAGGTACTCCTCTCATCAATTTACCTCTAATCAAAAAACGTACATAATTATTTACTTTCTTCTTTTCATCTGAGTCTAGATGCCCTAATATTTCGTCATTATCTTCAAGTCTTTCATAATTCAAAAAATCTGAAATTGCTATTCTCTCAATTTCACCAGCTCTTCGCCGATTGAAAAACTGTAATGAAGTTAGGGTCACACTTAATAGTTCTTTCCAAGCTTGAAAAGTAAACTTGTCATTGAGTTTCTTTATGAAAATGCTTCGGCGGTTATCCAAAAATATTCTTAAATGCTGAATGTCTTGAGAGGACGGAAGAATATTTTTTTTCTTTCTGTTTCTCTCCAGTTGATTTTCTTGTACAGTTTTATTGATGTCATGTGCAAGACCTTCTTGTAGGAGAAGAAGAAAGTCTTTGACCTCTTCTTGTCTGGTTTTATTTTTTGTTTAATATACTCTGATATCATATAGAATGCAATTTTCTTGAGATGTGACCCTATTGCAAAAGCAGTTGCTGGACTTTTGAATCTTCCAGTTTCTTGATTCAAGCCACACATTTTATTGATGCTTGAAATACAATTTTCGTAGTGAAGTGGATCAAATATCTCTTCCAATTTAATTTTAGGTATACCAGAAATCTCTCTAAGGGTTATCAGAAATGTGGCAACACATCTCAATTTTGCTCGTATCATTTTGTACAGATGGTGAGATCTATATTTTTGGCATAAGCGATTTCCAAACAAAATTATTACTTCATCAGATATAATAGTTTTTGTTACTCTGTCATCACAAAGTGATGGCAAAACACTGCTTCTAAGAATATCACTGGCTTTTGAGGAGATGAACATACTTTTCTGCTTAGACATTAAGAAGACATCTTTTGCTCCCTTGATCCTATTTTTTTGACATTTCCGGTAATGAGCTGTTAACGACATTTTTGAATACATGCCGCCACAATTTCCACAGGGCCTGAATTGATCGGCTGTTCTCTGCTTGGATGTAGGACACCGAACAACAATCAAATTACCCTCTAGATTGTATTTATTTTGGGTATTATACAGGAAATCCCCTTCTACACGAATTTTTTGTATTAATTGACTTCTGGAGATGTCCTTCTTAGGGAGTCTTAAAAACTCTGCAACTGACTCTTCATTCTTGTGCTTGTTCTCTAAATGACGAGCAAATTTTGTTTGAAGCTTCATACAGTATTTACAAAAATGAACTTTTGACTTAGTCCGATTATTTCACTTAAAGACAATTAATTTTTTGTTATCCATATCTGGAGTTGGTAAGTATATTGGAGCAACAATTTGATAATCTGCAAAGCGAAATACATTATATGAATTTAAACGAGAGTGTTCATTTATAAAGAAGCACGTTATTTCAAAACTCTCCCATAGCTGGCTGGCAAAGTAGTCATATTCTGAAGCTCCTTCATTTCGATGTGACGATAAATGATATACTTAGTGTTCGAACATACCCGAATGATAATATATTATCAAATACTATCATACATTCCTGAGTTAAGAAAGAAACATTTCATTCTGAACCTATTTCGTCACTGCTATATTGTGTGTACCCATGTTTCAATGCTTTCAATATACTTTTTATCTCCGCATTCAGAGGTTTAGTTTAAGAGTAGATCTAATTCTTCCAAATTTTTTAAAGGAAAAGTGTCTGTTAACATTGCATCATTCGGGTAAGTTCAGAGACTATTTGGGCATGGTGAAACTGGTACAACAAAATAAAAGTGCGTCAGACAGTGGGTTAAACACCATGTGTAATTTATTACTATTAGTTTTATAGCGATAATATAAACAACTGAAAAATGAATCTTAAGTTATTTTCGGTTGACGAGGTCTAATAAAATTAAAAATGATCATATAATGGATTAAAGAATGTAATGAGATATGTGATGCTGACCATCAAAAATTTTTCAAAACAGTGGCCAGCTAATTATATACCGTGTGTAACAGGATCATGGTACAACCTCATTTTTCTGTTATTTTTTAAAATGAATGAGTAAAATTTGGCACTTCATAAAATATATTTGTCACTAAACTTTCGAACTGAAGAAAAGAAGGGGGTGTACCAGATTCTGTCACACATGGTTTGGGTATTTACTTGGGTTCAATTTTAGAACTGAATTGATATCACGGTTCTTTATCAAATATTTTTTGTTACTGTATCCACGAAGGCCTCCAAATTTCTGTGCAGTGAATCTGCATTGATACAGTAACAGAAAAACATTCACTAGAGAACCGCGAGACTATTTCAGACCTGAAACATTCCCAAAGTGAATAAGACCTCACAACTATTTATGAAATCTTTATATTTTTGGCATTTGTGCATGCTAGAATTTTTGAAATTTAAGTAATAATGTTTATAATGATATTTTCAAAAAAAGTTATAGAGAGTTATACAAGTTAACCCCTTAAACTTCTGGAATCAAAACTGAAATATTATAATACGGTTAAAGAAATTGTTTACGATTACAATTGCGCTCTCTAGTGACAAATCTTTACAAACAATGGTTTGTAGGTATCCATCGTTTAACAGACACCCAATACAATACTCACTTTCATTTCTGGTCCGGACAACTTCTGAAATTCTTGGTTCAAAGTCGGCATCCATTACTGAGTCATTATCAACTTTATTTGGATTTCGTGATTTTTCATTCTCGGTAGCTGGAAAGTAAAAATAAATCAGAAAAAAAATCGCCTGGACTCTGGTCAATTTTCATGATTATGGCATTGAGTAACCGAAAAATTGGCTTCCGTTACAACTTTTTCGTATTCTAATCCACAAGCCAGGCTATTATCCATAAATGATATCCATAAAGACTACGATGTCTAACCGGCCTTCTTACAGGTCACTGTCATTTGAATCATCATATGCAGAGACTCAGACTGTCGGAAGACAGTGTGTATCGCCTATGTTTGGAAAATGATGAAACAGCAGAGCATAACTTTGTGCCTGCCCCGCTGGGGACCGAATCAGGTTTTTAGAGTTCGGCAGAGTCGTACTCTTACCATCTGACTTGCAACACCACCCAACATACAAATTAATCGGCTTCGTTAAAAAGCTGGGTTTATTTGGTCAAGTGTGTGAGCCACAATAAACCCTTGCGGGTTGCGATGGAGGGTCGAATAGACCCACTCGCTTCAGACCTAACCTAACCTAAGTGTTTAGCTCTAAAAATTCTGGAATCAGTGAAAATTAAAATGTTATAATAATGTTAAAAAAAACAGTTTAGCATGCCAATTTCATCCTCTAGTGGCAAATCTGTATAATGAATGGTTTCATAGATATAGATTTTCATCCTTAAACAGCCACTCAGTACAATACTTACTTTCATTTCTGGTCTGTTCAACATCTGAAAGTCTTGGTTTAAAGTCGGCATCCATAATAGAGTCATTGTCGACTCCATTTTGGTTTTCTGATTCTTCATTGTCGACAGCTGGAAAGTAAAAATAAATCAGAAACAAAATCGCCAGTATTCTGGACAATGTTTATGATTATGGCAATGAGTAGTAAACAGAAAAGTTGGTCTCGATTACAACTTTTCTTTATTACAAATCCACAAGTCATGCTGTTATCCAGAAATGCATAATTTCTGACCGAAGCTGAGTTGTAAAGACTGTAACGGTAGATGACAGAATTAATAATGGCATAGTATTCTAGAAATCACTGCCCAGTGAAAAATGTGCTGGGTACATTTTTTTTCAGAAAATTTTGAGAAAGCCTTAGAAGCATTCATTCTTGATGAGAACAATTAACTGAGTAGAAAAAAGTCATTATATGCTAGAACATTTTCTGAGAACGAAAAGAAGATATGAAAAGTGATTAGGTGTTTACTTTCTGGATTCAATAGACGTTAAATGTTATCATACTGTTAAAAAACTGTTTAGCATGCCAATTGCACCCTCTAGTGGCAAATCTGTTTAACGAGTGGTTTCGTAGATATAGGTGTTCATCCTCAAACAGAGGCCCAGTACAATACTTACTTCCATTTCTGGTCTGCTCAACATCTGAAAGACCTGGTTCAAAGTCAGGATCCACAACTGAGTCATCATCTTCATCTTGATTGTCTGATTCTTCATTCTCGGTTGCTATAAAGTGAAAATTATGAATTAGAAAAAAAATTGACAGTATTTTGTATGATGCTCATGAACATGTCAATGAGTAACCACAAAGTTGTCTTCCTTTCCAAATTGTTTGCAAAGTTTTGAACATTGTCAGAAAATGTTATGATTACCTTTTTTTATCTCTCCTAATTGGTGGTGAAATCTGAATGATCAATAAAAAATAATACAGGGTATTTCAAATTCGATCCTCACCATTGGGATCTCGGAAACTATGAGAGATACTTAGATGGTTAAATTGGGACAATATTGCGCATTTACCTGACTAACAATATGCAGTTGAGAAAGTTCTGAAATTTCGAGTATATTTGGAGATATCCTAAAAAAACAGAAATTTCATAAAATGGTTTTTATTTTTTTAGGGCTTTATTTTTCGAGGGATTCGAAAATAAATTTGCACTTCCACATTGCTACTTTTTTCCTGATACATAATGGTGTTTTCAGACTTGCTATCCGACGTTTCATCTTCCGGCCACCATCATAACAAAGAATTGGAGATATTGAAAAATAAAAATTTTAATCACAATAGGCTTTGACTTTGATATTTCTTAATTTGACTTTCACTCTGTTACACTCAATGAAATTTTGTTAATGTACAAGTCATTGAATTTTTGGCGAAAAATGGCTTTCACGAATGAAGAAAAAAGATATATGATACAAAACATATTTAAACTTGTATCTCGAAAGACAACCACATCGAACTATGTTCAAGTTATTGGATCAAAATCTCAGCAAGTTTGGTTCATTTGAAAAGCCGAAAAAAATTGTTAGTCAGGTAAATGCGCAACTTTGCCCCAATTTAACTGTCTTCATATCTCTTATAGTTTCCGAGATCCCAATGGTGGGGATCGAATTTGAAACACCCTGTATAATCCGGTAGCACAAAAAAGTTCTGTGGATATTGAATAATTGTTTATGGGATGGACTTAAAAGTACTCACTTTCAGTTGCATTCTGCCTAACATCTAAAGAATTGTTATTCTCATTAACACTCTGCATATCATCATACAGATACAGAATTACTTTTGGTAATTCACTTCGAACATGTTTCCTATGTTAGCACACAGAGAGGATGATAGAAAATTATATTTTCCGGCATTCCACCAACGACGAAAACGAACCTCGACGAGGTTACGTGCCGCAACTGTTTAAACACGAACTAATTCGGCCCTTTCGTTTACTTACGAAACAAACCGAATGTCTCAGCTAATCAGTTGCGTCATTTGCGTAGGAAAAATTGGCATTATTTTGGGGACACTTTCTTTTGTTTACTTCTCCCTCTACCTATATCCTATATGAGCTCATTGGGCAACACTTAACTGTTGCAGGATTAAGGGTGTGATTATGAACCCTCGATCCGATGCGAGTTTGACGTGACTCAACATGCCTTTCGATTCAAGCCATCAAAAAAACACAGCATTTTTCTCCTACGGCTCGAGTGTTCATAATTCCACCACAGATAACCATCCGACCAGCGTCCATGGTTTCAGATGTTACATTCAGCCTTACGTTAAAGCATTTTCTGGCGCTCATGTATTCAAAACTTTTTAGTCTGTGACTCAAATACATTCATTCCGGTGTTGAAACGATGACGTCACATCAACTATGATTTGAAACGTATTCATGATTCAAAACTATCGTGAGGTTGGTTTTGAAACGAAATTTGACGTTACGTTACGTCAGTTGTGAGTTTCTGTATTATTTTGATCGTTAAAGTTTATACCTAAAGTGCGGAAAACTTTTTATAAAATACGTTGTAATGATATACAAAATAAAGCTGAAAAATTATTGTATGCACAAATATGATTCTAATTGAGGTTAGAGAAAATTGAAAAGTTTGTTTTTATCTCAAAGTAATAATAAGACAGAGTTGCCATGCTTATACCAATACAATAGGTACATGTATTTTGAAAATGGGTATCGTTACTATCTGTATAACTTATGGGCTAGGTGGGGTGGCGGGTAATGAGGGGTTATGGAGAGTTTGTTTACATTTGAAGTTAGTTGGACCATAAAACAGTGGCTGTTGGTTCAGTTGATGATCGGAGGGATATTATATATTTATAAAATAAATCATTTCAGGTGAAAATGTATTCTGTTTAAATAGTTCCTACAGGAAATCTGATTTATTATTACTGATAATGGAAATGAGGCCAGTTTCTCTATCACCTACTAGATTTTTATTTATGAATGGTTTTATAATAAAGCGCTTGGTTTACTGGGTTAAAATTAAATTATTTCAAATGAACTTATTCATAACAATGATAAATGTTTATTAAATTATAAAACAACAATAAAAAATAATTGGCGATAAATGATAGATGTTAATTTTAAAAGTAATGAACTTTGCTTCATATAATCAGATGAAGAAATTTGTGATTT